AGAGAGAGAGAGAGAGAGAGAGAGGTGTGTGGAGCTGATGAAACAGAGAAGAGGCCATGGTGGGATGGCAAAAAAAATGATAAAAAAAAGAGAAGTCGATGGTGGCCGGCGTTTAGTGAGAGAAAGATAGAGAACTGACAAGAAAATAAGTGGTTTTTTTTTTAATTAGGTATAATAAGAATATTTTTGGGTTAAATAAAAATAAAAGGATATGGGTCAAATTTTATTTTCAATTAATGATTTAATTAAAATGTTTTATTTGAGGTTGTGCCTCACATCTAATTATATTTGGTTTGAGGGGTGTCTCCAATATTAACCCTTTTTATTTTTTATAGTCAACCACACAGTAATCTAAGTGAAGTTGGTAGTAATATGTCTGTCAACCATAGTGATATATTACAATAGTAGACAATAATATTATTACGTCATCAGTCAACAAATCAAACAAAAAAAAATTAATGTGGTTGACAATAACATTATTGCGTACACACTAATTTTAATGTCAACCATTGTAATGTTGTAATGATAGACAGTATATTATTACGTTGACTGGTCAACAAATCAAACAAAATAAACAAGGCAAACAATAAATAATATTAATGTGGTTGACAATAATATAATCGTGTTTGGAGTAATTTCACTATATCAACCACAATAATATAACTATCAATGTTCAACGGGGGCGGAAAAATAAATTCAAAAAAAAAAATAGTTTCAAAAGAAAATGTTAAAATTGGATTTTCTTGATCAAAATTGATGAAATTGTAATTAAATTGGATTTATAATTAGAAATTGAGTTTAAAAGGTTGGAGGTAATTTTGTCATAAACATTAGGTTTTCCTTTACTTATAATACATCTTAAAGAGATGAGATTATTGACGAATAAAATATAACACCTGAATCTAGAATAATAAAAGTGGTTGGTCAGAGACATAGGCATAAAAAACCCCTTTATATAAAGGGGCTATATGCCAAACACCCTTCGTTGGAATTTTAATTCTTGATAAATCATTTATTTATAAATGATATTTGAGATAAATCCAATGGGCCTGAAAACCCATATATGCCCCCATTAATTATTAATTAGTATAATTATTTAATTTAAAAAACAATTATATCTATAATCTACACCCAAATCTTCTCCAAAAAATTATTCCCCTAATCACGTCAGTTTAGTTTTTTTTCCTTTTCTTTTTTATTTGGTTTAATGATTTTCTTTATTTCGATTTAAAAAAATTTGTAATTATTTTATTTTTATTTTTTTTTATTTTCGCTTTTTTATTTTAAATTATTTTTTTTCTTATTTATATTTTTCATGTTTTTTTATTTTAATTTAAAAAATGATTTTATTTTTATTTTTGTTTTTTTCATTGTTTTTCTTTTTTCTTAATTTCGATTTTTTTTTTCTTTTCTTTCCAGTTTTTTAAATAAAAACCACTCTATATAAACATGAAAACCACTCTGTATAAACAGCCATATAAACATGAAAACCACTCTGTATAAAAGTAGTTATATAAACATGAAAACCACTCTGTATAAAAGTTAGCTATATAAACATGAAAACCACTATGCATACACAACTATATAAGTATAAAATCACTATGTATATACAACTATATAAACATGAAAATCACTCTGTATAAAAACAGCTATATAAACATGAAAACCACTATGTATACACAATTATAAAACCACTCTGTAC